TACTTTTACTTTTTAGTGAACTGGAAATTTGCATTTCAAAAAGGCAGGGAAATTTGATGGAGTACCGCAAAGTTTGATGCAAAAATGCATGATCGCACCGGCTCGCCTGGTGCGTTCCAGCCTGGGTTCATTCAAGTGATGAGTTTATGTTTGCGCGGACCACTTTGTCAAAGTTACCTCGCGATATCAAAACTGATCATGCTACCAGTCTGTTTTTCCGCCAGTTTCATATTATGTCATTAGTTCGAGAGTCACATCCCGACTACTCAAACTATCGGACATCCATATTTGAGGTCAAACAGCGGAGAGTGTATTTGCGAGCCTCACTGCTTCATCAAATGAATTTTACGTCCCTTTAAATGATTTTTTTTTTTTGGTCAATTAGCCAAAATTTTTTGCATCCTTGTCTGAGCTTTTCTTCTTGCGTGTTGTTGATAACTGTAATTTCCACACCCACTTGCTCAAATCCCCTGTATGTCGCTAAACGATTTGTGAAACTCTGACAAAGAAAAAAAAAACTAAGTCTGGTTGAGGATATTACAGTTTCAGGTTAGCTCAGGATAGAACAATGAGTCGTTGCTTAACGGAACGCGAACTGCTGCTTTCCAGCAATCGTTTCGAACGTGTCGTGTTCGGCTATATTGTTCCTGTTGTTATTGTGATTGGTATCGCTGGAAATGTCCTCAATTTTACCGTCTTACTTTCGCCACCGATGAGAAGCAGGTGTGCTTGGATCCATTGCATTTATATTTTTGCACAAAGTCCCACAGATACAGCTTTTTAATTCGAAATCAAATTGGACGAACATTTTTAAAAGCTTTCAAGCGCAATTTGTTTTTACACACACATTTTTGGGAGCAGAGTGAATAATGCATTAGTGAAATGAAAAAAAAAGAAAACAAAAGCATCAGAGGGCTTCTCCACTGCAGTTTGCCTGAATATGTTTGCGTGAGAAAAATTTCACGGCAAATGCATCACCTATTAGCTAAAGCAATGAATACATTTTTGTGCGTTTTTGCTGTTTGTGTGTGTTTAAAAACGAATAATTTTTGTCACTCACTTTCAACACAGCAACCAGGAAAGCTGGGGAACTGAAATTTTGGGGATCTATTCCCATCCCAAGTGTCGCCCTCTCGTTTTAAAAACTTCGTCCATACGCACCTAGACCTCGCGTACGAACTCCCGAAAAAAACATGCAAGTTTTTTTGGTGGGAAATGATTTCGCGAACCAACAAAATATAAAGCTGAAATTATGCAGAGATATTCTCCGTGCATGTGCGTGCTAAAGACTTTAAATTCAGCTATCGCTCACACTTGTACCGCGCGCACTGTCACGTCAAAGTTCTCAGTTAGCACTGTGGTGACTCGAAAACTAGCCAGAAAATAGCAGCTAAAATTTTGTGAGAGTAGTTATCGTTCATATAGGAAATAGTATACCCAAATTGAATCCCGACTTTCGTTTGCGCCACGATTTAGGGCAGTTCGAAGGTATTTGTAGTGAAGTGGCTATTTCGCTTGCCAGGCAATCCGTGAAGCTGGAACTTTGCAAGGGTATTCCCCATACAATTGCAGTTTTAATATAGCTTGGCGGTGAAATTCCGTGCACTCAAACGTGACAAATATTCAATTTACCGAAAACCCAAAAGCAAGTGCATTTGCAGATTTCATTATCCTCTTCGGACTTCCTTCAAATCTGTGGGGCTTCATGCAAAGAAACTAATAATCATGCACATTTGAGGCCCCTGCCGCCGTATAATGCAACATCATCCCAGCTGACGCCCTTTCTCCCTGCATGCCGAAAAAAGCTAAAACACAACCAATATGAGTCTAAGTGCTGAAGTATAGCGCACGGCCATTCCCGCGACCTGCAAGCTTAGCGCAAAAACGCATGATCGTACCAGCAAGCCTGATGCGTTGCAAACTGGGTTATTTCTTTTATTCGTTTATAGGTAGCGCACATACATAGAACAGGCGGTGAATACTAACTGGACCTATGTA